TTTTTTTTTTTTTGTTGGACTTGAATCTACTTTAAATGGAGGAGAGATGACCTCGACACGGTTCTTAAATTAGACTGAATAATTTACACGTAGACACAAGGACAAACCGCCGACTAAAATTCCTGCCAATATACACCACTAGTTGGTGTAAATGCAAACTGTGTACTGCCCCCTTCAGTTTCCTTTAGGATCACACACTCACTCACCTTCCACTCTGCCCAACATCAGGGACTTGATGGCGTTGAATTCTGCGTCGTACGTCAGGTTGAAGTCGTCCGTGTGGTTCTGATCGATCTGGAACAAACGAGACGTTCAGCGGTCGTCAGTGACGAGACACAAATTAAAACAAAACCCAGTGTTTTTTTATCGTCTCTGAACCCTGATCCCGCTCTCCTCCCTCAATCCTAATCCCAGTATTCCGGCTGGAGAAGCGACAGCGTTGATCCTTTTAGTGGAAACACTTTCTCTTCTTCTTCTTCTTCTTCTTCTTCTCCTCTGAGGACGACGATCGTCCACTGGTCGTTATCATAATGAGAGCAGAGTCGAGGAACGGCACTGGAACTATTTTCACTTTCATTCTAAATGACCTTTAACACAGTGATACGTTTTTGTTTGTGGCAAATCCATTTTTTTTCCACAACGTTTCCAAAGCAGTGGGTCGCAACCTGCAGGGGGTCAACGAAAAGATAATTTAAATCATTTATTTTAAAATAAAATATAGACAAATAATCTGATGTTTAATTTGTTCCAGTTTTTTTGACACTGTCGAAAGTTGGAGAACAAACTGTGAGCAGGATTTTGTCGCCTTGATTTATTTTGGAGATAGTTTGATTACGGTAACCAGGCGACCGTGTCCTCCGGTCCTCCGATCTTAGTCTGAGTATTCTGAACACGCCGTGACATCAGCAGAAATCCCGATCTCCACTCTGCTCCGTCTGATAAGAGCATCAGCAGCAAAGCATCAGCAGCAGAGCATCAGCAGCAGAGGACACGCTGCGTCTTCACCCAGAGGGAGTCATTTTTCAAAGGGACATCTGTGGAGGACAGAGATGTTGATACTGTCCACTCCTGAGTCCAACGAGGAGACTCGACCCTGCTGCTCCTCCTGCTGCTCCTCCTGCTGCTCCTCCTGCAGGTCATCAGGAAATTGCTCCAAGAACCTCCTGCCCCCCCCCCCCCCCCC